CATCTTCACCGTCATCAGCACCATCGTCATCATTATCACCAACAGCATCACCAACACTCTCATTAACAGCGCCATCACCATGACATTACACAATCATATCACCATATCGTCATATCATCACCATCGCCATCACTATACGCATCACTATCACCATGACCACCATGTCCACCATCACCCTCACCATCACCATCACAATCACGATCATGATGATGATCATCAGCATCATCAGCAGCATCAGCATCATCATCAGCATCATCATCGTACTCATTGTACTCATCATCATCATCAACAACATCATCGTACTCAGCCGCCGCCAGCGCCGCACTCGTCGTCGTCGCAATCGTCGCCGTCGTCGTCGTCGTTGCGGCCGCCGTCGGTGTCGGCGTCGTCGTCGTTGTCGCCGTCGTCGAAGTCGCCGTGGTTGTCGTCGTCGTCGCCGTCGCCGTCGCCGTCGTCATCGTTGCCGTCGTCGTCGTCGCCGTCGTCGTCGCCGTCGTCGTCGACGTCGCCGTCGTCGTCGTCGTGGTCGTCCCCCCCGCCCGTCCATCCCAGGTGGGGGGGGAGGCGAGGGATCATGAGACCCATCCCATCTGCAAAGAGGGGGGGGGCTCGTGGGCCCAGAGCCCACGATCATATATCCACATCCGCCGCATTCCAGTCCCCGAAGAATTCTCCCAAAACGGTGATCACGGATAAATGCATACCTTGGAAAAGAACAGAGGTGTGAGAAGAGAGTCGAGGATGATTCTGATTCGTGGAGGAGGGGCAGGAGAAAGAGGGGGCGGAGAAGGGGAAACACGAAGGCGTCGGAGTCGAAGTCGTCGGGGGTTGGTGGAGGAACGAGTAGGGGGGTAGAGGAAGCGAGGCGAGGATGTCTTTTGATATGATGGGGAAAGGGGGCAAGAGGGAGAGGGACGAGGAGGAGAGAGTTCCCCGAGCTTTCTGGTGACATGCGCGGGAGATGTCCTCCATTGTCCGCCCGTCCCCGAAGCCCACTTTTTGCGGGAGCATTTTCGCAATTGGACGACTGGGGTTCCCTCTGCCTGAGCATCCCCTAACCCTTCTTCCCTACCTCTCCCATCGCCCCCTCCTCTACCCTCCCTCCATCTTCCTCACCAGCGTTTCCCAATCTTCCGAACCTGACCAGGAGGACCCGATTCGCAGAGGAACCGACGGATATCGGGGGTGCTCCAGGAAGCGAGTCCTTGGAAATGCCAATACTTGGTCTCGTAAGCCTAACTTCCGCACGGCGTTCTCGAATCCCACAGACATGCTCTCGCCTTAACAATGACTAGCTTGCCCTGATCTGATCCTCCACATTTCCCCCCAGCCACACGCACTCCGCCCTTTCGCTGATGCAAGTGCTGGGTCCACACCGTCAGCGAAAAACGGCCCGAGGCGAGGGCCGCGACAGAGAGAAACGCGCAGGCCTCGCGACTGTTACGCACGAGCGCTGCGTCCTAGGAGCCAGGATCTACTCTTAAGTCGGGCGTGTCCCCCTAAAGGGCGACTTTCGACGGAAACTTAAAAACATGTTCAAAATATATGCCAAAATGGTTTTATACTAAAAAACGAAACAAATAGTCCGCATACTAACTTTTTACTGTCTTTGAATTGTCCTCCTGTGGATTCGTGTCCCCATAAAGGGCGACTCTGGATTCGGATTCTGTGAATAGTCCGCATGACATGACATGACCTGTGTTTCGTGTCCCCCTAAAGGGCGATTTTCGACGAACAATGAAAAAATCAGAAAAATATGCCAAAATGATTAAAAAAAAGGAACCAAATAGTCCCCATATTATTTTCTAAACTAGTTTTGAATTGTCCTCCTGTAGAGGGACGGGCCCGACTTAAATCTGCTCGGTCGTGCCGATGCACGCGGCGAGGCCAAGGTGCGGAGGGCGGCCCGCCCAGGCCCACGGGCCAGGCCGCCGTGCCGGGCGAGGCCCCCCGCGTCGACGCCTGGCCGGCCCGGCGCCGCTGCCGCCTCTGTACCGCAGCGCCGCCGCAGCTCTCAGGAGAAGACGAGGGGGCACAAGCGAAGGGGCCCTGGGACACGCAAAAATAGATACACAAATTCGCCGGCCCAACGTGCCAGAGGCGTGCTAAGATCTCCGGTAACTGGTTAACAATTCTCTAGTTCGCGCGCGCGGGGCGGCCCCTGGGGGTCCACGGACGAAAAGTACCCCGGCAAGGTCCTGAGAGAGTCCCGGGAGGAGTCCCCCAGAGCGCTCCAGGAGCGGTCCATGAGCGCACCAACAGGGCTCCGAGACGTCCCCGAGAGCCCCAAGAAAGGCCAAGAGGCCCCCAAGAGGCCCCCAAGATGGTACACGAGGGGTCCGACATGCCACAAGATCGCTCCAAGACGCCCAAGATAGCCCCCAGACGCCCCAAGAGGCCTCCAAGAGCACTCCCAAGAGGGCCCCCGGAGGCAAAATTCATTGTTTTTCCTTAGGTTTTTGAGAGATTTTTGGAGCTTCCACCTTTTCGGTTCCCGACGCCCCAAGACGGCCCCAGAGGCCCCCAAGATCGCCCCAAGAGGGCCCAAGAGGCCCCCAAGAGGGCCCCAAGATGGCCCAAGAGGGCTCGAAGACGGCCCAAGAAGCCTCCAAGACGGTCCAAGAGGGCCCCAAGAACACCCCCAGAGGGGCCCCAGAGAGGGAACACGAAACAAAATTTCGAGCCCTCGGCCCTAAGAAGCCCCTACGAGGCCCCAAGAGGCCCCTAAGAGGCCTCAAAAGGCCCCCACGAGGCCCTCAGGAGGCCCCCAAGAGTCCCCCAAGCGGCCCCCCAAATGCCCCCCCGAGCGCCCCAGGAGTCCCCAAGCGGCCCCAGGAACCCCCAAAGCGCCGCATTGACACCAGGGCCTCGGGCAAACGGCAGACATGAGACCGTATGGGCCAGCGGAATGAGCGAAGCGATTAAATAACAGGATTCCCCATATCATGTGTTCTGGGTTTTTGTCTTCCCGCCCACTTCCCACATTTTCCTATACTTTCTGGGGGATCGACGATGAATCGTGTTTGTGTGTTCTTTCCCTCCTGAGCAAACCGTAAGTCGGGCGTGCCCCCCTACGGGGGGATGTTGGGTGATCTTGTTAAACTAAAACATGCCCCCAACAATGGAGCAGGAATAGGCAAACAATCGTCCAACGACTATTTCCCGACCATCCTGTGGTGTTGGGTTCTCGTTTTGAACAGACAGCGCCCGCGGCCTTCCTTCCTCCCGATGCCCTCCCTCCCTCTCCCCATCATCAGCATCCCCATCATCAGCATCACCGTCACCATCATCATCGTCACCATCATCATCAACCCTCATCATCAGTTCGGCACACCCCTCACACGCTTCGTGGCTCCACAGGGGTCTCCACCGAAGGCCCCAATGGCTGCGTCCGGATGCGCCACCGCCACCCATTACGGCATACCTATCACACGATTCGTGACCCCATAGGGAGCTCCACCGAAGGCCCCAGTGGCTGCGTTCGAATGCGTCACCGCCATCCAATTCGGCACACCCTTCACACGGTTCGTGCCCCAATACAGAGCTCCACCGAAGGCCCCAGTGGCTGCGTCCTCATGCGTCACCGCCACCCATTCCGGCACACCCATCACACGGTTCGTTGCCCCATAGGGAGCCCCACCGAAGGCCCCAGTGGCTGCGTCCTCATGCGTCACCGCCACCCATTACGGCATTCCCCTCACACGGTTCGTGGCCCCATAGGGAGCTCCACCGAAGGCCCCAATGGCTGCGTCCTCATGCGTCACCGCCACCCAATTCGGCACACCCTTCACACGGTTAGTGGCCCCAATACAGAGCTCCACCGAAGGCCCCAATGGCTGCGTCCTCATGCGTCAACGCCACCCATCACTTACGGCACACCCATCACACGGTTCGTTGCCCCATAGGGAGCCCCACCGAAAGCCCCAGTGGCTGCGTCCGCATGCGTCACCGCCAGCCATTACGGCACACCCCTCAAAAGGCTCGTGGCCCCATAGGAAGCTCCACCGAAGGCCCCAATGGCTGCGTCCCCATGCGTCACCGCCACCCAGGACAGCGCTTCGCGGCCTCACATGGAGCTCCACCGAAGGCTCCAGTGGCAGTGTCCGCATGCGTCACCGCCACCCAGGACAGCGTTTCGTGGCCCCATATGGAGCTCCACCGAAGGCTCCAGTGGCAGTGTCCGCATCGCATGCGTCACCGCCACCCAGGACAGCGCTTCGTGGCCCTATAGGGAGCTCCACCGAAGGCTCCAGTGGGAGTGTCCGCGTGCGTCACCGCCACCCAAGGCAGCGTTTCGTGGCCCCATAGGCAACTCCACCGAAGGCTCCAGTGGCAAGGTCCGCATGCGTCTGCGCCACCGATTTCGGCGCACCCCTCGCACGCTTCGGTTCCCCATAGGGAGCTCCACCGAAAGCGGTACCCACAATGCGGCACTCGCAGCTACAAATGGTTGGATCCTTCGTCAGGCTCATGTTTTGACTACTTGTGACTATCCCTCCTGTAGAGGGACAGGCCCCACTGGACACGAATCGAAACTGTCGGAGGTCCGCGCGGACTTTCTGGATCGGCGCGCGCCAGGGGCGACGCCGCAGGCGCCGCCAAGGGGGCGTCCAGCGCAGATCCGAGACAGCCGCGAGGACCTCCGAAAGCTCAATGCTTCTTTGGCAGCGCGCAGAGGGGGGCAGGGACAAGGGGGGGGAAGGCGCGTGTTGCTGCCACGCTCTCAAAATGAATGGGATGGTCTAAGGTCTGTGCACTCCTACGATTTCGGTGTGCAGCCCCGGCCTGGAACTTGACGCCTGTGCAGCCTCTGCATGCTCCTCGGAAGGCGCCGGCCCTCCGTACGTTGGCAGACGGGGCCCGCAGCCTTCCCCCCCCCCCCCAAACGCCCGTCTGCGCCTCGGCCGAGAGCTTCCTCGAGCTCTCGAACAGCCTCGCGGCGGGGGCCGCGCCGCGAGGGCCCCCAGGCAGGGGGCCGAAGGCAGGGCTGGGGCCGCCGCTCAGGCCAGGACCGCGTCGAGGACGGTCTGCACCTGCTGCGCCTTGTCGCGGCCGTACCTGCGGACGCCGGGGGCCTCGGCCCAGCTCTCCAGGCGCAGGGGCCCCTTGCGGACGCAGATCCAGACCTTCTCGTCCAGCTTCCCCATCTGCCCGTACGCCTCGCGGTACACCTCGCCCCTCTTCTTGTTCAGCCGGTACTTCAGGGTGGCGGTCGAGGTCACCGCGGCGCCCTTGTCGCCCTTTCCTTCCTTGCCGCCCTTCCCCTTGCCCTTGCCCTTCCCGCTCTGCAGCGTCTGCACGACGATGAACTCGGTGTCCGACGTCCTCGTGACCTCCGAGGAGATCATCGTCGCGTTCCTCTGGGGGTGCATGCTGACGTGGATCAGCTCACGCCACAGCCTCTCGAAGTCGATGCGCTTGCCCATGTCTCCTGAGACCACGCACCTGTCTGGACGCCCGAAATGGGTACCGAAAAAATTGGGTACAATGCCCAACAGCAAATGTTGTCCCAAACCAACAGCGGCCGCTGTTGGGCAGGCGGCCTCCTGTCTCGAATGGACACAGGCCGCGGCGGCGTGGACAGCGAGCCCTGTTCAAAACGAACAGTATCCGCTGTTGGGCATTGTACCCATTCTTTCCGTGCCCATCCCGTTCGTGCAGAACCTGAGCTTGGCGTTCGTGCTGACCTTCACCGCACCGGGCGCCTCAGCGGGCGCAACACGCTTCATGATCGCGTTCACCAGATACTGCATGGGGTCGCGCCGTGCGGGGCCGAACTTGCGGACGGTGTGCGTCTCGCTCCAGCACTCCAGGCGCAAAGGCGCACCGTGGAACACCGCCCAGCCCTTCTCCTGCAGCTCCCCGTCCGGCCCGAAGGCCTCGGAGTACACCCACCCCTGGGCCTTGTTGACCTTGTACTCCGTCACGACCTTCAGCGGCGGAGGGTGGAGGACCTCCACCACCGCGAACTCCTCGTCGGCAGGGCCCATGCCGGTCCTGATGGAGGAGTCCTTGATGCCACCCGCAGACTTGACCGGATCCTGCAGCAGCCCCACGAGCTCCTTCCAGAACCTGTCGTAGGAGATGACGTGGTCCATCGGCTCGGACATCACGCTCTTCAAGCCTGCCACCGACGGCGACGCCACCCCGTGGCTGACCTAGAGGGACGACGCGCTTGTACAAACATACACTCTCGAAGGTCCACGCAGACTTCTGAGATTGGCGCCGGGCCACCCCCCTTGCGCAGAGCGCACCGAGGGCAGCGCCGGAGGTGATGCCAGGGGGCCTCAACAAAGATCCAAGAAATCCACTCGACAGGTATAGGGGAACAAACAGTGACATAAACATAAAAACTCGGAAGTCCGCGCGGCTTTCTCGGATCGGCGCCAGGGCCGCCCCGCGGCGCCTCCGGCGCCGCCCCTGGCGCGCTCCGCGCGCCAGGGAGGGGGGTCCAGCGCCGCTCCGAGAACTCCGCGCGGACCTCCGAGTGTTTATATTGACATAATTTTTCGCTCCCCTAACTGACCATTGCTCGGACGTCCATTCGTTGTTTTTTTTCGGTCGGTTTCGTGCGTGGCTTTTTCGCCAAATGATCAACGATGCTCCTCGATGGTCCTCGGCCGAGGAAAAATGCACACGTCCGAGCGATGCCAAGCTAAGGGGGGCTCAACAGCGATCCAAGCAATCCACGCGACAGGTAGAAAGAAAAGCGCTCCCGACCCGCCTCATCGGGAGCGGCCGAGAGGGGGGCGTCCAAGAGAGGGGGGGAGTGCAAAATCATGACCGGCGGCACGTGCGCGGCCCAGCGGGGAGGCCAGGGGCGCAATGAAACAAGAAGAGGCGCCATGGAATCTGGGGAGATGTCATGGCCCACTCCATGATATCCCCCCCCCCTAGTTTTGGACGCCCGAAATGGGTACGGAAAGAATGGGTACAATGCCCAACAACAAATAATGTCCCAAACCATCAGCGGCCGCTGTTGGGCAGGCGGCCTCCTGTCTCGAATGGACACAGGCCGCGGCGGCGTGGACAGCGGGTCCTGTTCGAAATGAACAGGAACTGCTGTCGGGCATTGTACCCATGCTTTCAGTACTCATTTCGTGCGTGCAGACTAGTCATCGCCCCCGCTCTTTGCCGCCCCCGAGGCAGGTAGAAAAGAAAAGAGCCCCCGAGCCGCCTCGCACGCCAGGCATACCCCCCCCCCCCTGGTCATCACCCCCCTGGTCATCACCCCCTAGTCATGACCCCCCCCCCTAAGTCATGGCCCACGCCATGATATCATGGCCCACGCCATGAGATCCACCCCCCCCCCCTTATCATCACCCCCCTCTCTGCCGCCCCCGAACCACGGGCATAAAGAAAAGACCTCCCGCGCCCGCCTCGCACGCCCGGCACACCGCCCCAGGCGTGCCGGAACTCCCTGGGGATCCCCCGCCTCGCGCCGGCGGCGGCTGGCCTCTGGCACGCCGCGGCCGCCGGGCACAGAGCCTGCTGGCGCTCCCTGTGTGGATTCCGCCTCGCGCTCTCGGGGGGAAGGGGGGGATTAGCAAAGGGGGGGCTTGAGCATCAGCTCCTGGCCCTCGCTCGGACGTCCATTCCCTGTGTTTTTCTGCGGCTTCGTGCGTGGTTTCTTCGCCAGAGGATCAAGGATGCTCCTCGATGGTCCTCGCCGAAGGAAAAATGCACACGTCCGAGCGATGCCAAGGCTCACGTAGCTGATTTTCCTGGCGCCTCCCGGCGCCAGAGGCGGCCGTGTATCGAGGGATGGGCCCCTCGGTAGGGCCGAAAGCAGCTGCATGCAGCAGATTTCGTACCCCCCCCTTTCCCAATCCCCCCCTTTCGTCCGGCCCGAGCTTCGCGTTCTCGAGTGGGGATCGCCCGAACAAACACATAATGTATGCAGTTACTTGCCTGGAATAAAAACAACTCCATGAACAGAAACTCGTGGCGCTCTGCGCGGACTTCTTGTATCTGCGTTGGACACTCCTCCCGGGCGCGCGCAGCGCGCCAGGGGCGGCGCCAGAGGAGCCGCTGGGGGCGGGCTCAGCGTGGATCCAAGAAATCCGCGCGGAGCGCCACCAACAATTTCTGCTGATGGCCTTCTCTCCTCCTCGATGGATTCCCCCAGGCTGGCCTTGATCTGTGCCCCCGCCGGGTTCGCCCGCGACAGGATCTCGTTCACGAGCTCCTGCACCGACGCGCTCTTCAGGGGCCCGTGCTTGCGCTCGCCGGGCGTCTCGCCCCACACCTCCGCAGGGTAGGAACGACGACGAGAACGACATCCGCGACGACGGCAACGACGGGGACGGCACGGTCGTCGTCGTCGTCGTCGTCGTCGTCGTCGTCGTCGTCGTCGTCGTCGTCGTCGTCGTCGTCGATCGTCGATCGTCGATCGTGGCGGCGACGGGGATGGTAACGAGGGGGCGGCCAAGAGGGGGGCGTCCACGAGGGGCGAGGTGCAAATTATGGCCGGCGGCACGGGCGCGGCCCAGGGGGGGGGCGGCCAGGGACGTCATGCAACAAGGAGAGGCGCCATGGAATCTGGGGAGATGTCGTGGCCCACGCCTTAAAGGGCCCTGGAAACGACAAGGCCGTTTTTGTTACCGGTTCCGTTTTTCCGTTTTTTACCGGTTCCGACGCCGCTTTGTTTCCTGTTCCCGTCGCCGTTTTTTGACCGGTTCCGGCTCCGGTTCCAATCCTGGAGCCGTTTTTGTTGCCGCTTCCGGCCGCCGTTTTTTTTTGCCGTTTCCATTTTCAAGGGGCACTTTTCTGGAAACGGTGAAAAAACGGCCCTGCCGCCCACGCCATGGTTCCCCCCCCCCTGGTCATCAACCCCCTCTCTGCCGCCCCCGAGCCACGGGCGGCGCACATCTCCTCGCGACCCCGGGGATGCACCGTCGCACCCGGGTGCGCCCCGCGGGGGGCAGCCTCGAGAGGCCCCCCCCCCCGTATGCTCAGGTCGGGCCTGTCCCCCCTACAGGGTGATTTTTGACGAGAAATTTAAAAATACTCCAAAACTACTCCAAAAAGATGCCCCAAAATACTCAAGAAATAGTCCCCGGACTATTTTTTTCACCACTTCTGGATATTCCCCCTCTAGAGGGACAGGCCCGACTTGACCGTATGCGCGGGGGCTTCGCGGCCCAGGGGCCCGGCCCGCGAGGCCGTGGACAGGGACGCTCCGGGCCCCCGAGCCAGCGAGGGGGGGCAGGCCCGGGGCGCAGAGACATCGACCGGCGCTCGGCGACGCACCGCCGACCAGCCACAGCTGGGGGAGCGGTGGTCCTTACTCCAGATTTCGTAATAAAAGGGAGGGGGTCTGGACCCTCCAAGACAAGCTATGTCAGACCCCCCCCCCGTGGGAGAACCCTCCAAAGCATCGTCCCCAGACCCCCCCAGGCCCTCCAAGATAGCCTGGAAGAGACCCCCCCCCGAAATGAGACCCCCCTCCCTTTATTACGAAATCTGGAGTAATTACCCCCCTGGGGGGACCCACTGCATCGACGACCTGTCGGGAGGGGTGCTGAGATCGAGGGGCGCCCCAGGGGGGTGGGGGCCACAGCTCCCCCCGCTGGGGGAGCTGTGGTCCTCACCCCCCTGGGGGGGCCCACTGCATCGGCGATCTGTCGAGAGTGGTGCCGAAATCGAGGGGCGCCCCAGGGGGGAGCAAGGGCCACGGCTCCCCCCGCTGGGGGAGCTGTGGTCCTCACCCCCCTGGGGGGGCCCACTGCATCGGCGACCTGTCGAGCGGGGTGCCGAGATCGAATCGAGGGGCGCCCCAGGGGGGAGCAAGGGCCACGGCTCCCCCCGCTGGGGGAGCTGTGGTCCTCACCCCCCTGGGGGGGCCCACTGCATCGGCGACCTGTCGAGCGGGGTGCCGAGATCGAGGGGCGCCCCAGGGGGGAGCAAGGGCCACGGCTCCCCCCGCTGGGGGAGCTGTGGTCCTCACCCCCCGGGGGGGGCCCACTGCATCGGCGACCTGTCGAGCGGGGTGCCGAGATCGATCGAGGGGCGCCCCAGGGGGGGAGCGAGGGCCACGGCTCCCCCCCCGCTGCGGCCGGCCTGCCTCGCCGATCGATCGACGCCGGGTCCCCAAGGGGCGAGTCCGCACGCTCCCTGGCTGAAGTCGGGCCTGCCCTCCTACAGGGGCATTCTGAACGAAAATAAAAAGTAGTCAAAAATTCTAAAATAATCAAAAATGAAAAAAACCGTCCACTGGCTAGTAGAGGGAAAATACTCAAAAATGGTGAAGAAACCGTCCGTGAAAATTATCAAAAATAGCGAAACATGCTAAATTTTCACTATTTTTGAATTTTCCTCCTGTAGAGGCACAGGCCCGACTCGATCCTGGCCGGGGCGGGCCATCGGGCACCCGGCGGCGAGGATTGGGCCAGTGGGGGCCGATGCGCCATCCCACCGGAGCCTATGCTTCCCGAGCGCTGCACCTTTGCTTTTATCGGCGGTGGACAAACCTCCTTTTAGTAAACCTCCCCTTAGTGAAAGCGGCCTGGGACCGAAATCGGCGGACCTGGACCCGCAAAAACGACGGCCGCGACGCCCTCTCGCGAACCGAAAACGGCCAATTCCTCTATCGACGTGTCAGGGTAGGAGGTCTATCCACCTCCGATTCTAGGGTCATAGCTGGGCTCTCCGGCGGGCCTTCGAGGCGATGCGGGACAGCCCCGGAACACTCCTCGGCGGGGCGCCGCCGCGGAGGGGCACCTTGAGGCAGTGGCAGGCCGCCAGGAGCCGACGACGGCGCCCGAGCACCTTGCACCTCGAGCCTCGAAACTTCGCCTCCCTCTGACTCGATCCCCCCCTAACTTTGTGAGGGGCAACGATAGGGGGGGACTGGCACAGGGGGGATGCATCGACCTGGAATCGGCGATACATCGCCGATAGATCGGCGATAGGCTTCCGATAGTGAATCCACACCTTCCTGGGCAGGTTGTGGCTATCGGTCCCCTATCGACGATCAATGGGCGATTGGGTGTCGATGCATCCCCCCCTGTGCCTACCCCCCCCCCCTATCGTTGCCCCTAACTTTGCCACGGAACCTCCAGCCGCAGGGGGCTCCGGTGCAGCACGGCCCAGTTGCGGTCCCGCACGCGGCCGGCGGAGCCGAGGGTCTCGATGCGCGCAGACGCCTCCGCAGGGCTGAGCGTGTACCTGGAGGAACCACAAGCGATATACATGATTTGGCTTCGGTCGTCATCGTCGTCGTCCCCCTCCAGAAACGGCGGCACAGGCCGTGCGGCCTTCGCAATAAGCAACACAAAGTTATGCTGCTTCGAGCGCTTCCCACCAGAGAGCGCAGAGGCATCCCGAACGGGGCCCGAGCAGATGCGGTCGGACAACCGAGCCGCATCGCAGATGCATCGCGGATGCATCTGCGATGCGTCGGGGACGCTGGCATGAAAAACATCTTACCAGCCTGGAACATATCCCTATCCATATGCTGGGCACCTCCCCATCACGATGCCAATCTTAGGGATTCCCTTATTTTTTGAAGGCGAATCCCTAAGATTGTCATCGCCTTTTGGCGTGTCAATCTTAGGGATAGGGATACGTTCGAGGCTGGTAGAACATCGGGCTCCAAATCGAGCCACATCGCCGATGCATCGGCGACGCAGCGCAGTCACCCTCCTCCTCCTCTTCCTCCTCCTCCTCCTCCTCCTCCTCCTCCTCCCTCCTCCTCCTCCTCCTCCTCCTCCTCCTCCTCCTCCTCCTCCTCCTCCTCCTCCCTCCTCCTCCTCCTCCTCCTCCTCGTTCTCCTCCTCCTCCTCCTCCTCCTCCTCCTCCTCCTCCTCCATCCTCCATCCTCCATCCTCCATCCTCCATCCTCCATCCTCCTCCTCCTCCTCCTCCTCCTCCTCCTCCTCCTCCTCCTCCTCTTCCTCCTCCACCCTGCTTCTCCTCCTCCTCCTCCTCCTCCTCCTCCTCCTCTCCTGCTCCCTCCTCCTCCTCCTCCTCCTCTCCTCCTCCTCCTCCTCCTCCTCCTCCTCCCTCCTCCCTCCTCCTCCTCCTCCCTCCTCCCTCTCCTCCCTCCTCTCCCCTCCTCCTCCTCCTTCCTCCTCCTCCTCCTCCTCCTCCTCCTCCTCCTCCTCCTCCTCCTCCTCCTCCTCCTTCTTTTTTTTCGGGGGTGGACAGACCTCCTACACGTCGATTGGCGGATTGGCCGTTTTCGGTTGGCGGGAGGGCGTCGCGGCCGTCCTGTTTGCGGGTCCAGGTCCGTCGGTTTCGGTCCCAAGCCGTTTTCATTAAGGGGGGATAGTCCACCGCCGATCACGGGTCCCCGCCCGACGGGCTGGCGACGTCGGATTTAGACACAATAGATGTTAGGGAGGGGAGAACACACAGGCACGATTCATCGCCGTTTCCCCCGAAAATCTTAGGACATTTCGGGAAGTGGGGGGGGGAAACGAAACCCCCGAAACCGCCAGAGGCGCCACGGGGGGGTGTCCAGTGCCGACGCCAAGGCTTCCGCGCGGATCCAGGCCCCCCTCACTGCGGGGGTGGACAGACCTCCTACCCTGACACGTCGATTGGCGAATTGGCCGTCTTCGGTTCGCGAGGGGGCGTCGCGGCCGTCATTTGTTGCAGGTCCAGGTCCGTCGGTTTCGGTCCCAGGCCGTTTTCATTAAGGTCCCTGGCCTCATTTCCGCGCTTCCGCTCGTTTCGACTCGTGCTCCCGCTGCAGCGCTGGCGTCATTTCCCGTGCCATGCCACGGCATGCAATGCAATGCTAGGTTGATACTACGCTTCGCGGTGCTCTTCTACGCCATGCCATGCCGTGCTCTACAATGCATCGCGTCCCCTTTCGGGATCATTGCCCTGCTCGACATCCGACTGTGCGAGTAGAGAGGGGATCTGCCATGGTAAGGGATGGGAGGGAGGGGTAGGATGTCAGATATGACGCGAGCGCACCTAGCTTGTCCTCCTCCTCCTCCCCCCCTCCTCCTCCTCCTCCTCCTCCTCCTCTTCCCCCTCCCCCTCCTCCTCCTCCTGCTCCTCCCCCTCCTCCTCCCTCCTCCCTCCTCCTCCTCCTCCTCCCCCTCCTCCTCCTCGAGAGTGTGTCTGCGAGCACCGCAGCGTGGACTCGCCTGCCTTGTCCACGCGCGGGAGCTCGAACTCCCGCTCGGAGATCCGCCACCACGCCGCCGGGCACGGAGTCTTGGATGACCCAAAAAAGGGGGTCCAGCTGAAAATGGGGGTGGTGCAATAGATCTGGGGCAATTGTGTTGCAAGTGTATTGCACCGGAGAAGCGTATTGCATCGTGTTGCAAGTTGTGTAGTGCGCGCGAACGTACAGCAACACATCTGCGCCCCGGAGTGTGTTGCACGCCCCAGCGTGTTGCAGCCCCACAAATCTATTGCACCAAATCTATTGCACCACCCCCCTTTGTCGCTGGACCCCCATTTGGGTCAATCGGAGTGGACTGTCCTCGGACTCCGTCGACTTCTGCTTGGAAGGCTGCGGGGGCTCCTTCGAGGGCCCGTGTCCTGCTGAGCGCTTCCAACACTGCACGAGATGGTCCCAGGGTCCGCCCTGGAGCCCTTTCGGGTGCCCCGTGGGCTGTCTTGGAGGCCCCGGCGCGGGCCCCAAGAGCCAAGTGCTATAGACGAGTGTATAAAACAGCGTAAGAATATGATGAATCTGGGGGGGACAGTTTAAAGATAAGCATTCGCGGCGCTGCTGCGCGCATGTGTGTATATATATATATATATATATATATATATATACTAGAACCATCGCGCGCGCTTCGCGCGCGCTCAGGTTCTAGCAGGCCCCAGGCCTTGACGAATTCACTGCTCCACTGAAGTAGTGGACCACAGTCCACGCATGCCAATCTGCATTCCGAAAGGCCTTCGAGGAGAATGGTTGTGTAGGGGGGCGGAGGCCGTGTGAATCGGGTTCCCAGAAGGCCTTCTGGGATCATGGGTTTGGGGCGTCTTGGGGAGCCTGTTGGGGCGTGCCGTCGTCGTCGTCGTCGTCGTCGTCGTCGTCGTCGTCGTCGTCGTCGTAATGTCGTCGTCGCCTATTGGGGCGCGCCGTCGTCGTCGTCGTCGTCGTCGTCGTCGTCGTCGTCGTCGTCGTCGTCGTCGTCGTCGTCGTCGTCGTCCTCGTCGTCGTCTTCGTCGTTTCGTCGTCGGCGTCGTCGTCGATTCAAGAAGGCACTTGGGGCAATTTTGTGCGAAACGATCTGCGGAGGGCCGCGAGAAGGCGATCAATCATGTTCCCAATCAACTTCCCAGACAACTCTCCTTTAGCATGATGGTACTTCGAAGCCTCCGGAGACTCGCGGGCCCATGATGAACCATGTCCCCGGAAGGCTGTCTGGGGACAGGATTTTGTTGGGGTGTGTTGGGGGGTCTGTTGGGCGTTCCCTGGGGGCCCCTTGGGGGCCTCCGGGAACTCTCGGGCCCATGATGAACCATGTCCCTGGAAGGTTTTGTGGGGACATGATTTCTTGGGGTGTGTTGGGGGGCCTCTTGGGCGTTCCCTGGGAGCCCCTTGGGGGTCTCTTGGAGCTTCCTGGGGGCCTCTTGGGCGCCTCACGGGGCTTCGTGGGAGCCTCTTGGTGGCCTCTGGGGGCCTACAGGCGGCCTCGAGGGCCAGAGACCTCGAAACATCGGTTGGCGGTCCCCCTCTGGGCCCTCTCTTGGGGAGCTCTTGGGGCACAGTTGGGTTGTCTGGGGAGCCTCCTGAGCCGTCTTGGGGCCCTCTTCGGGGCCTCCTGGCCCGTCTTGGAGCGATCTGAAGGGCCTCCGAGCGAGGCCGTGAGGAAGCGCTGGGAAGCGGGGAAAGCGAGAACACCTAAATCCTTCAAAAACCATCGGAAACCCAGTGAATCTTGCCTCCCAAGGCCCTCTTGGGGAGCCTCTTGAGTCCGTCCTGGAGCGTGTTCGAGTCCTCGTCGGCCGTCTTGAGGGCAGCTTGGGCGTCTTCGGGACCTCTTGGGACCGTCTAGGGCCCTCTCGGGACCTGGCCTGCTTCGGGGCGGGCTCGGGCCGCCTCGGGACCCCTCTGGGCCTTCTCTTGGCGCGCTCTTGGGGCACACTTGGGTTGTCTGGGGAGCATCCTGGGCCGTTTCGGGGCCCTCGTCGGGGCCTCGTGGGCCCGTCTTGGAGCGATCTGAAAGTCCTCCGAGGCCGTGAGGGAGCGCTGGAAAGCGGGAAAAGCGAGAACGCCAAAATCCAAAACACTCAGAAAACTAATGAATCTGGCCTTCCAGGGCCCTTTGGGGGAGCCTCTTGAGTCCGTCCTCGAGCGTGTCGGCCCAGAAGAGCGCCACGAGGCAGCCCCCCCCCCAAAACTGCCTGATCTTCCCCACGCCAGCCCAGGATCGGCGGCGCCACCGGGGAAGGCAGAGCCGGACGGCCCAGAAGAGCGCCACGGGACGGCGCCCCCCAGAAGTGCCCGATCCTCCCCACGCCAGCCCGGGATCGGCGGCGCGACCGGGGGAAGGCAGAGCGGGTCTGGGGCCTTGGAGTTCTCGCGGCCGAGGACGTCGTCGTCGTCGTCGTCGTCGTCGTCGTCGTCGTCGTCGGCGTCGTCGTCGTCGGCGTCGTCGTCGTCGCCAGCGGCAGGAAACCCTCGGCCTCAGCCGTGCTCGCTCTCGGGGCGTCGCCTCCGAGCTCGGCGGCTGCCGCGCCGCCGGCGGGGCACGGCCCCCCAAAAAAGCGCCACAGGACAGGTCCCAGGAGCTGCCGGACATCCCCCACACCGGCCCAGGGGCTTTGTCGCCGAGGCCCCCCCCCAGGAGGCCCCCCGCGGGAGGCCCCCCCGGGCGGCCCCCAAAGAGGCCCCCGAGCAGGCCCTCAAAGGGAGGCCCCCCATGGGAGGCCCCCAAAAGGGCTCCCAAGAGGCCCCCAAAATGCTCCCAAGAGGCCCCCAGACTGCTCCCAAGAGGCCCCCCAGGCTGCTCCCGAGAGGCACCCAAACTGCTCCCAAGAGGCCCCCAAAAGTGCTCCCAAGAGGGTCCCAGTCCCAGACTGCTCCCAGATCGGCGGCGCGACCGTGGGAGGCCAGCGCGGCTCGGGATCCTCAGCAGGCAGCGGGGATTCTCAGAGGCCCTCACGCCTTCCAAGAAAGCCCCCCAGCGGCGTCGGGGAAAACACTCGGAGGCCTCTTGGAAGTGGCAGGGCCTCTGCAAGGCCAGGCCGCCTTCTGAGCCGGCCACCTCTGCCTTGCCCTCCAACCCCAGGCGCGCCGTCGAGATCAGGGGGACGAAAGCTTCGGATGCATCTTGGAAGCGGCAGGGCCTCTGCGAGGCCAGGCCACCTTCTGGGAAACCAAGCAACCTCGAAATCCTCTTCCCCCTCAAAGGACAAGAAAAGACGCCATAAGCGTTAACTCTTGGCGCTCCGCGTGGACTCGCGCCAGACC